GGGACATTGGGCCAAGTGAAACAAGGAAATGAAGGGATGAGGAAATATTGCTCCCTAAAATCTGTTCATTCTCCATCTGCTTTTCAAGACACCTAAATTAAGAGGGGACCCTCCTGGGCCAGCACGTTCATTCTAGCTGGCATTTCAGGAGGCATTACGGACGTTTATGCAAATAACATGGAAAACCTTATAAAGTCGAACACTGCCTCAATCCCTAGCACCCGTGGCCAGTGGTATTTGTGCTTTCACATAAATTATCCCTTGGGCATTCAATGTGTTTTTCTAACTAAACAGCAATTGCTTTGAAGATAAGAGTTGGTAGAGTAAAGGCTAAGAAAATAACCAACCAGGCACAGCCATCTCTTCCCACAGTAACTGTAAGACTGAGAACAGAGCGGTAGTAAATATTAATTGGATTTATCTGTGCTAAGCATTGTGCTGAGCCCCTTGTGATGATCATGTATTTTGTGGATATCAAGAGTCTCTGTTCTTACAGAATCATCAGGCTGGTAAATACTGTAAAGCTCACACCAAGTCATAGTCATCGTGCTGAGATTTTTAACGCTCCCTTATATGAGAGGCAGTGGTGGTCCAAACCTTCCCCATCCAGTCACTCTACAAGTCTTTACTGGGTGTTTACTCTGTGCACAGCTGTTGTGAGAGGCAAGAGAAATCCCATGTTCATCCTGTGTTCCCTAGTGGGGGCGGGGGTACAAGTAATAAACAAATAGGTAGACAGACTAAAACGTGCAGGATGGTAAGGAAAAAAAAGTCTAGGGAATCAGAAGCAGGGAGACAAAAGCAAGAATGTTTGGAAAGTGCTCACTGAGTAGGTAGGAGCTGAACAAAGGGGAGGAAGGGACTAAAGAACACCTGAGAAGGGAGGGAGGGAGGGAGGGAGGAGCAGAAACAAACACAGACAAATCAATGGAGGTCTCAGCTGCAGGGGACTGGGTGTTGAATAAGAATGGGGTGGGGGACACACTAGGCAGTTACCCTAAATACTACAAGGAAGAAAGAACAGGGCTTCGACCACAGTGGTACCAATAGCTGATTAGATGACAGGAGACGGATTCTAGATCCATCTCAAAGACTGAGCTCACAAAGCCTCTCCTTGGATTGGCTGGAGTGGTGTGAGACAAGGAAGGGGAGATAATGGTGTCAGTTTTGCTTGGTTTCTGGCTTAGGATTGATTCTGCCAGGACAACCAAAATGCTGTCTGATGGCTTAGATGAAGATAATGCTAGGAGAAGCAAGAATCAAGGCTGCACATGCATGAAGCTTGAGACCCCATAGGCTTTTGGTTGGGGAGGTGGACAGAGAACTGGTCAGCAAGGAGCTCAAGTAGTCCAGGCTGATAAGTTGTTAGATTAGAGCAAAGAAGGTTATTTAAACACTAAGTCATTGAGGAACTATGTGCACATAAAGAAAATAGGTCTAAATTTAAGCCCTGAGAATTACATTGTGGATCAGCCAGGATAATTATAGATAGAAAATTCTCTCCGTTGCAAAGAAAGAAACCAAATGAAGATCCAAGTGTAATCCATCTAAATAACACGCTTAGTGGGTTAATGACGCAGACACCGCCTATCCCACTCATCTAAGAAATCTAGAGTGTCTTTGGAGAATTAGATAATTATAGATAGCTGGGCCCCTCCTCCCCATCAGCTCCCCAAATAGAAACATCAACATTCCTGAACAAATATTGTACCCAGGGCATAGCCCGAGCCCTGGAGGAGCCAGTGTGGGTAGCTCTAGGGAGTGCAGACACGACCACACAGAGATGGCTGAGTTAAATTAGTTGGTTTCATCTGGCTTTCTGACGCTCAAAGCAAAGAATCGGTTTACACCCGCTACTGACAAATCGCCTAATCACAAAGTTCTGTCTTATTTACAAACCATATTAAAGATTTATATACATACCTTTTGCCAACAAACTCACCCAAAGGAGAGAAAAAACTAGAGTTAAGAGAACTATTTCTGCCTCAAAAAAAAAAAAAAAGAAAGAAAGAAAGAAACATGATTTCACTGAGTGAGTGAGGACAAAGACACTGGCTCTGGGTTAAACATGTAAACCACACACACAACACATCAAAGCACATGGTACCAGAAATATGGACAACTTTCATGTTTTGATGTGTTCATTAAAGTAAACTTAAACAGTAATGATGATAAAAATCTGCCTTTGGGCATGTTCACACAAGGTAAGGAAATCACAGCCCTCAGAAGCATCGCCATTCTTCTTTGGTCACATTAGAGATAAAACTGCAATAAGAATCAATACTATCTATGGGCGCTGTCTGCATGTGCACCGATATTATCTTATTTGATGCCACAAGAGCATCTTTAAAAGCACACGCTGTATAGACATTGGAAAACTGAAGCCAAGGAAGGTCAAAGGTCGTCGGCCTAATGAGTCAAACAAGCAGAATTCATTCCTATCTTATCTTTTCCCAAACCTGGGGACATTCTTTGACGCAACAGCTGCTCGCCATGAAATGCAGTTTACTTGTTTAATTATAAACGCTCCCAGACATGACTCTCCTCCACAGTCGCTTGTCTGGATTCCATTAGTAAAGCCATTGTCATATTAGTTGCCAATTGCAAGGTCATCCTCCACACTGTGTGGTCACTGGGGGTGTCACCATATAGCCTCTGCCTGCCACAGCCACTTCCTTAGCTCTCCGGGATTGACACAGTGTCCAGAATGCATACGTTGAGTACTGTTCCTGGCTGTACACAGCCCATCTTAACACCACCAACACTCCTGACTTTGGACACCAGGTCCTTATTGTCGCTTCCACCAAGGAGCCTCTACATTTGCAAGGGTCACCTCCTAAAATGTCAGTCCTGGTGACAAAGTAATTGGCCTTCTTTATAAGTCATAACACAAGAGCGGCTTAACAGGCTGATCTACTGGTAGAACCAAGGTTACCAAATAAGGCCTGTCTTATATGGTTGTAGACTAACTTTTCTATCTGTGCATGACAACCACAGTTCAATGAATATTCTTTTGTATATTTATGTAAACACAGTCAAAATGATTATATCTTGAGAAACTGGGCCATCTAAAATACTGTAAATATGAAACAAACGCGAACTAGACTCCATTTCTTCTCCCTTTGCCTCGACTAGCTATCCAAAATCTGTTGGCATGCCCACAAGACCATATTATGTCAATTATAATAATATAGAAAAAAAAACTTGAAAGTGATATTAACCAGTTTTTCCTATAAGTCACCCTTGTCAGAATTTGGCATCAACTCTGATCCTCATGAATAATTCATATTCTGTGCATTAATAATGCATGTCCTCTTCCTGTTGGAATGCTCTCTAGCAGGGAATGAATGTCTAGCCCTTATCCCTTCCATTGACGTGATGGAGTAAATGCAATATTTGAACGTGGCTTTCTACCACTCTCTTTAAAACTATAACACTTGGCAGCCCACAAGATAATCAAAAGTGTGAGGCTCTCATGATTTCTTCCACCTCACATGAAGTGACTTGGTTGAGAACCCCGGGGAGAATCAATTAACTGTAGCAAATCCAGTAAGATTGGTTGGTTTTGGTACTGTTCTCCTTAACACTGTGTGTGCAATCATCTCAGAGGAGAGAACTTCACTGTTCAAACATAGTAAACAGCAAGGAGGGAAGAAAGAAAGAAAAAAAGAAAGAAAGAAAGAAAGAAAGAAAGAAGGAAGGAAGGAAGGAAGGAAGGAAGGAAGGAAGGAAGGAAGGAAAATAAATAGGCCAAAGGAACCAGCGAAGAGTTTTATAACAGTCCAGACTGTTTCTCCCCAGCAGACATTTTCTTCTCTAGCCATGGTTACTACTGAGAAATTTCTTTTATTCTCAGTCAAATTAAAGGCACATTAAAAAAAAAATCCAGAGACCAAATAAAAGAATGGTAGTTTGTGGAGAAAGCTACTCAACGTATCACTCACCCTAGCGGGGCCAATGACATTCTCATCACAGTAGTTTTCCTTCCTAAGTAAACTTACTTCTCAGCCCTGCCTCATCCCCCAGCCTCGGGCAAACGCAAAGCAACAAAAACAGCCACGGTCTCTGACACATGGCAAGAAGAAATGAGGTAGCTTGAAAAGCACGAGCAAGCACACACACACACACACACACATATACGGACACATACATACACACACATATACACATGTATATGTGTATGTATGTATGTATGCGTGTATGTATGTATGTAAGTATGTAAATATATGTATACATATTCCAATATCCTCCCCTCCCCCAAGACTGTACCATCACTTAAAAACCCAAAGAGACGCAAGATGGTTCTGTCCTAAAGTGCCCCCAACAAGAGAAAAGAAAAGCAGTCTTAAGGGAGCCACCAGGATTCATTCATTCTTTTTCGTTTCCCAGGAGCTCTACGCAGGCACCATGCTCCACACGAAATGATCGTCCAGTAGGAATCGGAAGGTGGATTCCAAAAAAACATTAACCCGTTGCCCAGGCTCAGGAGTAGGGGAATTCAGATCTGAGCTTCTGCTAGGGAGTCGGCCTTACCCAACGTCGGCTCTCTCCACCTCTGCTAACACCTGAGCTGCAGAACTGAGTCCCCGGGGCCAGATAGGCACTGACCTTGATCCCCCCCCTCGGAGGATATGCCCTGTGTCCTGGCCTGCATCCATCCCCTGGAAAAGTTAAGTTGGCGCGAGTGGCATGCTGGCCGGGGACATCCGGCAGGCTCAGCATCATGCCGGGCTTTCCAGCTTCAGCACCCATGGCTACCGGGAAATATTTATTCCGAGTCAATGGGCTCCGGTGGCCACCGTTAGAAAGTCAAGCCATCCGAGAGATAAAGATAGCTCCATGACATACCCAGACACTGGCGCTAGCGCCGCAGCCGCGGTAGCCTGGGACATGGGCTGCCAGAGCCACCGTGCAAGTCCCCAGCGCCAGGAGCTCGGATGCTGGCAGCAGACACAGACCCTGAAGTCGCGAACAAGGAGCACGGAAACAATGATACGTACCCCTAGGCGTCTGCTCCGGATCCTCACGTACCCCTGCTTCACTATGTCATTAAAATTGGAAGCCATCCCAGACAGACAGCGACCCTGCTGCCCCCAGCGTGCGCACAGCACTCTGAGTGGCTTCCAGGAGGGATGTGGGGAGGGTCAGGACAGAGACGGAGGGAGTGAAAGTTGACAAGGCGATGCAGTGAAACCAGGCGTCAGAAGGCGCACATCGCTCTCCCTGTCTCCCCAAAGCCTGAAAGTGGGCGGCCCGCCGGCGCCCAGCAGCCACTTTGGGGGAGAGCAGCGGAGAGGCGAGACTGGAGCGCGGTGTCAGCTGACTGGGCGGCAGCCTGCCAGGAGGAGGAGCCGATCCGGCCCCCAAGGAGGAGGAGAAGGACCAGAAAGGAGAAGAGAGAGAGAACGGAGGAAGCAGAGATGGCCCAGAAGGAGGAGCACAGGGTCCCCCTCCTCCTCGGCCTCCGCCCACCTGGCCCCCAGCTGCTCTGGTCCCACCTCCTCTCCCCAGGGGCGCGCTCCGCCAATCCCTGCGCACAGCAGCCAACAGCCAAGGCGAAGCTCCCAGTTCCTACCTGTCTTTTAGAGAGAAGGACACAGGACTCCTTTTTACCGGCTGTGTGTACCCTAACCATCCCTTCATCCCCATCTTTTCCTCAGAGGAGCTAATTACGGGTGTGTCTGTGTCCAGGGACACTGAGCTGGGTGGTTTACCTGTGACCTCTACACGCACAGAGAAAGCCAGCTCTATAAGCATAAGAGGCTTATGCTCACCTCTTCCATGAGGACTCCCTGCTGTCAGGATTTAGGCTTGTATCTATTGTCCCTTTTTCAGTGTTTGAGCCTGTCTTCCCATTAGGACTCCAAGTTTCCCGGAACTGATTCTTGGCCTGTCTGCTCTGTTCTCAAACCCCAGCTCTGTGTAGACTGATCGATGACCAATAAATCTTAGGACTTTATCAAAGTGCCAAGCTTGTATCAGGCGGTGCTCTCTCCTTTGTATGCTCCCCTGCGCCCGCTAAGGTGCGGCTCCTTTGTGCAATTTCCCAGCTCCCACGTAACCTCCATAACCTGACAATGTAGCTGCCCCTGGAAAACATCGTGGACGCCTGTAACTATTCCTAGAACACTAAGGAGGGAGGGAGTGTGAAGGGTCTGACCCACCTCCTCCTGCTTCTGCGGCCTTCCTCAAGCAAACTTAAGTTTATTACAGCTGATAGATACCCTCTGAACATCATCCTTCTGGGCCTTGCTAAGGGAAGAGTGATTGATCGTGGTTTTAGCACTTAGGTTTTACAGAACCTGTAGCTGAGAAGAGGTGAACGTGCCCACCATCCCATAGCTGGCCAGCATAGGGCCAGGACTGCAAGGACAGAAGGATGAGTATTCCGAAGGGCCAATGTAGGGCTGATGTCATAAGCATGAAGTTGCCTCTTGATCTCTAAGGTAGATCTAATCTTTCTCTTCCTTTACTCAAAAGTTAGAACATTCTTGGTCATCAGAGGTGACCCCAGTCGGAGCTAATGAGCTGGGCGACCTCCAGTGAGAGTCACAGAGAAAGAGTCATCTATTTCACAGGTCGTTAGATCTGGTGACATCAAATTCCTCTCATCTCTACCATCATACAGAACTTCCTTTCTCTGTGGGAAATCTCATTTTAGTCATCCTGGCTTGATGGGTATTAGTCAGTCAAAGAAGAGAAATCACCCAAGAATGTGTCATAGAGTTGAGACTAAATTGGGACAGCTAGAAAGCAGAGATCCTGATGGGAAGAATTCTTTCCTATCTTGTGAACTATCTGCTGTATCTCTGTGTTTCCGTTCTATGAAAAATGATGTTTTAACTGTCTTTCACCCAACGAGGAAAATGGTGGAGTCATTTGGAGGGCTGTTTTAGAAGAGCTCGCACTATTAATCAGTCCTTCCCAGGGTAACTATAAAACAGAAGTGTTTTTGAATGACATCTACTCAACACTTCAGTTGTAAACCAACCAGTTACAGTGTCACAGGGAAAGAGAATGAGTCCATACAGAAGAAGCTGGAAATGAGTGGCCCAGTAACAGAAACTATAGATGAGAAAAACAGGTATGGAACTAAGGATGATCAAATCAGACTAGAAAACGACACACTAGATGGGGGGAGATGATTTTTCAATCGCAAGATTGAATGCAGTTTATTTGGTTGGTAAAAAACAAAAATTAAACCGAAAAGCACAAACACTATAGAGTGTGGTGTGCCAATCACGGGACAGCCCCTAACTTTTCTACAAATGAGGCAAATCCCAATGGTGGCAGGAAAAGAGAGACCCTAAGAGATACAGAATCCAGCAGGCCCACAGACTCCCTCGGCGCTCATCACGAACATGTAGACACACCACCACAGGAGATTTCCTTTCTCTCTAGACAAGCCTTCCATCCACCAAAAACATCGATTCAATTCCTGCTGCTGACTCAGTTTCAATCCTTAAGACCTGTTTTTATAACACACATTTGTCCCCTCTTCCTTAGAATCCCTGCCTGTGGGTGCGTGTGTGTGTGTGTGTGTGTGTGTGTGTGTGTGTGTGTGTGTGTGTATGTGTGTGTTAGTCTACTCATTTTATTTATCATTTGTCTGTCTGTCTTGTGGCAGCGTCTCCTGTATCTCAGGCTAGCCTCGTCCTTGCTCTTCAAGGAGAAACATAAACTTCTGGTCCCCTCCCCCTCTACCCTCTGAGTGCCGGGACTATAACCACTATAACCATGCATCATGCAGAGCTGGGATGGCGCCCAGGGCTTTGTGCATGCTAGGCAGCGAGTGCTCCACCCATTGAGCTCTCTCCTTAGCCCCCCTCTCAGCCTTTTGAGACACACTGTCTTGGCTAGACCCTCTCTGACTGGACCATGTTTCCCCTGATGCATCCCAGAGAAGTGTCTCATCCTTTCCGTCTTCACTTGAAAGTTGGCTCCAGCTTCTGTGCCCGTTTCTTCTCTGAAGGCTCCCTGTTAGTTCCCATGTAGGCGATAGCTGATTTCCCAGGTATTTAATTTGTTTACTGACAACTCTGCTTTATCAGGGTGTGCACACAGGCATGTGGAAGACACTTCTGGATGACCCATCCCACGGCATGCCCCTTACACTCACACTTGGGTTCCGTTTTGTTTATTTTTTACGATTTATATTATTTTCTGTATTTTATCTGCAGGTATGTGCGTGCCTTAAGTGTGAGCCTGGTGCTCACAGAGGTGTCAGAAGAGGACTCAGAGGCCCTGGAACTGGAGTTAGGGATGGCTGTGAGCAACCATGATTATACATACTTTCTGGTCACGGGAAGGAAGGAATGGAGCAGCAAGTACCTGGAGAGCGAAGCTGTTCCATGTTTTCTTCCACCTGATCGGGGGTGACTTCCCAAGTCATCTGTCTTTACTTAATGGAGGCTGGTGGAGCATTGACCTGGCGCAGAGCAAACCTCCTCTCCGGCGACAGCCAAGCAGCTTTCATTAGTGTTGTCTGACCTGCCAGAGAAGAGGCTGCTGCGCCTCTGTGGCTCCTGTGACACTCCCACTGAGAGCGGCAGGGGGTGGTGGGAGCTCAAGTTATTTTCGGTAAAGGCGCTGGACACGTGCCACACAGCCTGAGCCTCGGTGCTCAGCGGCGGTCGACGGAAGTGTAAGACTTAGGGGAGCCTGTCCTTTATTCCAGAAAAGTCCAGACGCCTCTGCGTTTCTGTAAATATAGTCGTCTGTCTTCAGTAACTCAACAATAAGAAGGACAGAGGCTGGGGAGATGCCTCAGTGGGTGAACAGTTGCCGTGCAATCTCAAAGACCTGAATTCAAGTTACGAGCACCCGTAAGAGTAGGGAGTGGGAGTGTGGGCGTTTGTGCTGGGAAGATGGGTAGAGACTAGCAGGCCTGTGACTCACTAGCCAGCCTAGCCAATCGGAAAAACCCAGATTCAGGGAGAGATGCTGCCCTAAAAAACAAAGTAGAGAGCAACTGAGGGAACTAACCCACGCTAACAATGACAGTAACAATCGGTTGACTGGAGGCAGGACAAGAGCCGCTTCTGTGTTTGTGCTACGTTGCATCTGTCCTCAAGCAGTGGACCAACCGGCCTGGTGTGGAGGTCTCGCTCTGCAAAGCTGCAGTTGAGAGGTTTCTGTTTCAGCGGATATAGCAGTTTTGTAGTGTGTCAACAAGTTGTCACAATAAAAAAAAATTAAAAAAAAAAGTGGGATTCTCCTTGGGACACATGCTCGCTCGTTCCTTTTTAGTAAATACTTTGCTGTCGTGGGCAGTATCAGGGCTACAGCTGGCAGAAGCGACCTGTGTGACTGAAAGAAGTATGCGTGGGTTCTTAGGATCTTTGCCATGGCAGCTCCTTACTCCGAACAGCTCTGACATTGAGAGCCTTCTTCAATGTTGTGCCCTAGCGCCTCACTTGCACCCCCTGCTGTCAGATCTTGGGAATGCGCTCTATAATTTTTTTTAAATTTTTTATTTAACTTTTATTAATTACACTTTATTCATTTTGTATCCCCCCATAAGCCCCTCCCTCCTCCCCTCCCGGTCCCACCCTCCCCCCTTTCTGCATGCATGTCCCTCCCCAGGTCCACTGATAGGGGAGGTCCTCCTCTCCTTTCTGATCTTAGTCTATCAGTTCTCATCAGAAGTGGCTGCATTGTCAGGGTTCTAGGTTATCTCCACAGATAGTCCTTGGTTGGAGTATGAGTCTCTGGGAAGTTCCCTGTGTTCAGATTTTTTTGTTCTGTTGCTCTCTATAATTCTAACCACAATGTGCTCCCTTGAATGACACAGGTCACAAAGCCCGACATCTCTCCCAGCCTCACTTTTTCCTTTTGCTCTCTTGTAGAGTCTCTCTTTGGAAAGTGCTAGAGACCTACCTGGAAATCACTTGAGCCGTCTGGGATTACTGAATCTAGTTCAGTGGGGAATTTTGAAGCTTCCAGTCACAGAGCCATGGAGCCTCCAGTAGGACGACTTCAGCGGCAGTGACAGAATGCCTCAGTGTTTGAGGGGTTTAATGCAGGACAGAAGCGACACGGTGCTTTAGAAATCACTGGCAGGCCCACCGCTTCCCAGTGCCTGTTGTGCTGACACTGATGGGGACAGGATAAAGCGCTACCGAGATGTCTACCCCAAGGCTCTCGTGCGGAAGCTGAGGTCTCACATAGTGGGGTGGGGGCAACTGGCTCATGAGAGCGCTGTTTAATCAACGATGCTTTTCTAATTCGATGAAATTATTGGACAATGCTAGAAACTCTTGG